AAATGCCAGAATATAAGATCCAGTGCAGGCATCGTGGAAAAATAAATATTCCAGATTACCTAGTGGAACTTTAATTCCGCATAGTTATACAAATCTTTCATAATAAAATTTATGTGTACTTTCGTTGCCTTGCAACACTGAGTTGTTGCACATTGAAGTAAAGGCCCTCCTGAATAAGCAAAGGTAAGATATGTACGTTTCACTAGAAGCACTTCAAAACGATGCAAATGATTTTCCGGGCCAGAAGAAAACATTTGCATTTCGGTGGTGTGGATGTATGTGTTGGAAAAGAGTGTGCTCAAAGTGTTTGCATTACCTTTGTACCACCCATTGTCTCTCTCTTGATATCACTTGTGTAATAACAACTAGTGGGGATTATTCTAAAGCTCTACGAGACAGCTTCTATCGCAAAGCATGTCCTCTGGACTATCTCCGCTGAGAGAGGGTGCTTTTCGGAAATCACTGTATGTCGTTGATGATTCTTTTCGCCCCTTATCGCTCCTGTTTATGGGTCTGTGCGCAGAACACAGGGCTCCATCCTGCATATTTCACTGTTGGCCGGGGTGGTGGACAAACTTTCCGGCAATTACGACACAACTAACAACAATTCAACACTGTTTCACTGTATTACTGGTCAAATATACACTGGAGATTTGTTATCTGCAGATTTCACACGCTCACCCACTTGGCACCTCTCACCAGGACTCCTGCGCCCACCCTTGGGGACGTCGAGCACTCGCCCGGAACTGAGCCGGGAGGATGTGATTCATGTGAGAGCTGTCCTGCGATCAGCACATCCACTGATCCTCTTCCAGCCAATTATGCGGCGTCCGAAATTGTGTGGGCGGCCCCAATCCTGGCATTTCCAGCTTCTCAGATGGACAATTTCGCTGGGCAAATATTAACTGTCTGCGCGAGTGTACTCCAGCCTGGAGATTTATGCGTCTGTGGTCTGCAAATTCTATGCAAATTGCTCACCCCCTGCAATCTTTTGATTGTGTACACAAAATATTGTACGCCACTTGGGTGGTCGCTGCACGGATCCGCTGTGGTGCTTTTAAATATAAAATCACAAGCATAAACACAAACTAAGGTGTAGCTGCGATGCCGAGGGAGTTGGTTTAGATTTTACAACTGTGAGATTTGAAGGGGCGTAGTTTTGGGGACGTACAGTGCCTGATCGGAGATTTACAGCACGAGGAAAACCAATAACTAATTCTGAACAGCCTCAATTGTTTGTATAGCTTACTAGACGAGAGACGAGGGTGTTATAAAGTCTCTTGGAAATTCACGCATTTCTTCCGGTGACTCTGACACGAGGCAAAACTTTGTTCGTTCCAAAAAAAACACTTAGTATTTTGAATGATAGTGTTATTGTTACAACTGCCCTCAACGTGACCTGCTTCAATACGAATTCCTGCCTCTCTGCAAAATGGGAAAACTTCTAATCATGTTGGATTAGCTGCCATCCTGACTGCCTGAGTCAGGTGTCCTGTGACGAGCGTCCAAACTTCAAACTTTCCCCAAATCCGCCCGCGCTGTGATTAATTGTGAAGCAGCTCCGACACGTGTGACACGCAACTGTTCACACCTTGGGTGTCCCCTGGAAAAGGTGAGGATGGCGAGGACAAGGAATGTGTAAAGAGACACCCGGCTTTATCGATGGAAGCCCCAGCTGTCGAGTGTGAAATTTCCCAGGCGCCCCAAGGCGGGCGCCTAGCTGGGTGTCAGTCACGTCCCCGGAGATTGCCAGGACACGGCAGCGTATTCATATTTAAGTAAAATCGTGCACGAGGCACCTCGACTGCCTCCGGAAGCATCCTCAGACGCCTGGTGCGCTTAGGCAGACGTGCACGGAATACGATTTGTGGCACTCTTGGCGGCTTTTACTTTCGTCACTCTGGGTGTTTTCGATGCATTTGCATTTGTCGTGCCGTCTTAAATTCCATGGCCGCGCAATCACATTCGGGCCATCATCAATTTGGCTCAGTTTCGAGCTCTCCTGCGTTGCGACACTTCGATTTCTGCTGAATTGCCGGCAACACTTTATCCCACAAATTGTATTATAAATATTCCTCCAACCTACAGTGCTTTCTTCCGATTCCCTAAACTTTCAACAAACATTTTCACATCTCACCATTTCTTCGACATGTGAAGGGATGAAATCTTGAAGAAAGTATATGTGTGGAGAAAAAATGCCTGGCGAAAAGGAAAAGAGAAATGTACAATCAATATTTGTGCTCGCTTTTCAATTTAATGCCAAGCACAAAGATATTCGAGAGTGGAAGAGAAATTGGCAAGTTTCGCAGTGTCCCCAAAAGTGTACCTTCGTTTTTCCCATCCCACGATTGCCCACACAGCTCCGGCCCATGGAGCTTTCGGGGAGCTTTAGGGTGGATTGAAACCAATAATCGAGGGTAGTTTGGTGGATGAAGAAGTGCCAGTGGTGGAAAATGGGAAAAGCCTTAACAGCCGTATAATGTCAACCCTAATTCACATTTTATGGAATATCTCGAATTTATGTCCGATTTCACTTGAATATTTTCCGTCGGAATGGCATTGAATTCTCCTCTGTCGTCTCCATTGAGAGTGAGACCGATTGTTTCTGTCTTCACAGACGATTACCCCACACTTCTCATAAGCTCTTCTTACACCACTTGTTTTGTCGTCTCATAATTTATATGCGTAACCAAAGGAACACTAATCAAACAACTAAAGCAGTCAGTGTTAAAAAAAAAGCTTCAGAGTAAATCCAATTTACCAATAGAAATTAGAAAACTTGACATCTCTGCTTTGAATTTGTCTTGGGATTTCTTTTTAACGTGAATTTACAAATGACTACAAATCGTTGTGATAGAAGAACAATTACTTATACATATAACTTTCGGGCTTAAGCAAAGGAGAAGAGAGTATTGCGCTCTGAAAGTGAAATAAATATAATGCGGTTTGCCATCTTTGAAACATAACGTGATAAGACAGAATTATATTTCCACCTTCACCATAGTTTCACCCTCTGCAGAATACAACAGTTGCAGAGAGAAAAGCGAGCTATAGTGCTTGTCAGGGAACATTCCATGCTCCTCTTCGTGCTTATTACAAAATGAGAATGATTATGAAAATATTGCCATTCCTCAAGTTTGCCGCATTCCCCATTATTTCGCGAATGCGAACCAGGAAAAGGCGCCGAGTTGAGAAAACTTGATTCCACTCCACTGAGCTTGATATGCAAATGAAGTCCGGTGTATCCGACAGTAGACGAATCAAATTATTGAATTATTCCTCTCGAGCTTCTTTTCTCTTCCCTGGGCGTTGTTCGTCATTAAAAATTTTTGCACCTTCAACCCTCTTCAGATGTGAAATAATTCAAGAGGAAATTTTCATTTACTTTCCATTTACATCCGGTCACGATTAGGGGGTATCATTTTGGAAGTTTGTGACGAGGGGCCATCGCATGGGTGTGTTTGCCCACTGACCGGTGAGATATTCTTTAATTAAATCTCCAGAAAATGCCCGATTCCAGGGCGCACATGCTGAGAATCTGGGATTGAATTTCTGCTCAGGGTTGGGCGATGAATGGACAGAAATTTGATTTGCCTGCTGGAATGTTTAATTGAAAAGGCATCTGGTCGACACAAACACCTTGTTCGCCAGACGAGACACCTTAGACGCTCCCCTTTGCTGTCGCTTCCCTTATTAATTCACCCTCGAAGTTTGGCCACAGCCTGAAAACATGAAAATGAAGCGATTTAATCTCTTCTGTACACACAGACTTGCATGGGAATTTCGATACGGCAGAAGAAAAGGCGAGTAATTGAAGTGCCATCAATGGGGATCAGGTTTGATCTCTCTGCTAATCTCTGCAAATTTCCAATTTCGCCACTTGACAGGTCACTGTGGCTGTAATTACTGCTGTTCTGAGTCATCTCAGAGGGTTTTTATAGCACCATCGCTGCCAGTCACTTTGTGATTCTTTGCAGTCAGTGATTCATGCACAATATAGGGATTTACCTTTCAGATTTCCCATCTTCGCAGTCGCCACTGAAATAATAAGATAACTTCCAATCCACCACACAACTGCTCGATGTTCTGTTCAACTCTATTCAGGGGCAAAGTTGAAAATTAAATTTCAATATTAAATTTTCTGCACGAGCCAAATGTCAATGGTGCCCGAGGTGGTTCCTGTAAAGCCAGAGCGACTGGGAAACTTGGTAAATTGTTGATGATCGAATAGAGGAAAAATTCATGGAATCACGGGCAGCTGAGGGGCACAGGAAAATCAACTTCCGCCACGTGAGAACAGGGAAGTCGCCAGAGCACCTCCAATCTCGAAATGGGCGGTATTTCAATTTAACACCATCCAAATGTCCATCGCGATGAGTGCCAATGTCGCACTCTTCTTCATGTCCGCCCAGCGAAATCCATTTATATGGAAATTCGCACTGAAGGACCGCTCAAGTTGGATTTCCCGAGTACGGGTGAACATATGTGACATCTTTATGTGGCGGATTCGTGTACATTTTCAATTTAACTGTAAATTTTCATAGTACTTCCGCGGGAAAACTCTCCGGAGAGCTTTTTCAGTCATCGCTCGGATAACACTGGTGGTTATGGAGCTTTGCATTTGAAATGCAACATGGATTTAGTGTTGTTTTTCCGGCTAAAACTACTGTATTCATTGCAATGACGGATTCAGTGTTCCCAGAATTGAAGGTGCATATGCAACAGAGGTTGAAAAAAATTATTAATGTTTAGCAAGATAGCATGTGAGATTGTGACTCGCAATGTTACAAATTTTCACATGTATTTTTTGTAGATGAAAAAAGAGATTAAAAAATCACTTACGTTTGAAAATCATGAAAACATTCACGGATTGACATAAAATGAGACTTTTTTTATGAATAAACATTCAGCATATAAAACTTACCAGGAATTTGAATAGGTTTCTCAACAAGTAATCGGCCAAATTCTCAAAATGTGGGAAAATACAAAAAGATTTCCTCCTTTAATACTCTTTATTGTTACTTGTAACAATGACATAACTTAAACACTATATCATCTTAGGTCATGTATATATTGTTTCTCCATCATTGTAATGTATGTGTGTATGTATAAATATTAAATTATACTTGAATATTATAAAAAATGCATTGCGACGATAATCTCAGTGATGAGAATCGCCTCATTAAATTTACATTACACAAAAACACATCGATTTTATACTTAAACGCTGGTTTTACCTCTGAATAATACATGCTTAATTTTCTCCGGGAAAACTTTCCTCAGATGCCTGTTTGATGTTGGCGCGATGGTATGTGGAGTGTGGAAAATCGACGAATAATTTTATTTGTTCTTCCACGGAATGGGAAAAGATGTTGAGGACGAGGAAATTGTGTGTCTATGTGTGTGTGTGTGTGGTGAGGAAAAATCTGTGTGGTTTTTCTTTCTCTCCGTTTTATTGAATGTCTCTGGGATGAGCCAAAGTGAGCCCGAGAAGAACAAGAAGTGGAGCATAAAATTCACAAGAAGCTTCGAATGAATGAGTTTTTCTCGTGATTCCCACCCGCAATTACACCGAAACGAGCCTGGCTGAAACTTTTGCAACGGTGAAGGCAGGAAGAAGGGCAATTTGTCATAAAGTTGCCATCGGTTCCCCATCAGGATGATGCCCGCCCTGCTTGCCACCGCCCGCTGTGTCTTGGGGCAAGGAATTGCCGGGTGTCGATCGAAATTATACAAATACCGACTTCAGTAGTGCAGGAATTCGTGGCATTTGTGGGCCAAGGAGTTGGCACAAGTGCCCCTGAGGCCAGAATGTCTGCAACCCAACCGCGCTCTCCGGAAGATGGTAGTTAATGAGTGGGAAAGATTCTCATCAGGAATGCCACCCCGATTCCGCTTTGGACGAAAGTGTGAAAGAGACATCCTAATGAGGTTGGTGATTTTTTCCTCAACTTCCAGATCGTAAGTCTTAATTTGCCCTTCTTTTATGGTGCCCCATTATTCAGCATCTTATTCGGTATCTTCGCACCGAAACGATTCACTTTTTCACGAGTCTGGCTTTCATTCACTCTCAAAACCGGGTTGACTTGTCACACCGAATTCCTACGCTCTACTCTATGCGCATTAGTCACGACGATTAAATTTCCTACAAGAGATTGTAGATGCTGATCAAAAATTTATCTAAAATCGTATTTGATGCTAAAAAGATAGCATAAAATGTAGGACTACTCTTTGGTCTTCTAGTATCTCATCTATGTGTAATTCTAATTTAATCTTTTCAAATCTTATTATTTGATTGAAATTCAATTTTATTTATCGAGAAAAAAGGATTTCAAAATGTTTTCTTCAAATTCTTTGAAATATAAAACCATCAGGACGACAAGATCTCTAATTAATCGACTTGTTTTTTTAATGTCCTGGGATGGTTTCAAAAATTGTCTTGTTTGATTTTTATTTACGTATTTCACTTGCGTCGAACTCTTTCAGTATCCGATCTGGATTTAACTACCTTTCTAGTTGGCAATTGTCAAAGGAGGTAGTTTGAAAAATTGGTCTACGAAGCGCTGACGAGTAGGCATAAAATTGCCTCTGTTGAAGACACTTCGATGTCAACCGGACAAGCTCCACTTCTTCTCCACTCTCCTCACTTTCTCTCATCGTGTGCAAATGCATGGGAATTCCTGGGTTTCCCTACACTTTTTTCTCAACAGATTCACTTAACACCCGCTTTGTCGCCGGGAAAGGCGAAGTGTGAAATGCGATTGGATGAATGGGAAAGATGGGAAGCATTGGATGGGAAGAGTGTCGTATTCTCCGCACAGAGGCTCAGTTGGAACTTCAGTTCAACTGCTTGAAGAGGAAGAGGTCATACATGATGGCCCGGTATCTCTCGGAGCACGCCTTGCACTGGATCCGCTGTTACGCGTTGAGGCTCGTCATGCCGAGCAAGTTGGTGTTGGTGGCGATGAAATTGGGGTGGCAATTATCCACCCTGTTGGCCTCCTCGTTGGGGATGGAGAAGTGGCGATAGGTGATGAACTCAGGCTGCATCGGCTGCAATCGCTTGTTGGCCTCGATGATGCGCTGCTTCTTCAGCTTCAGCCACCCCAGCACCGAGATGAGGACAATGAACACGATGATGCCCAGCACACAACCCACAATCAGCCCCAAACGCCGCGTGAGGATCGAGTGGATGAAGCTCTGCCCAGCCACGCCGTTGTCGTCCATCATGAGACTCGGCGAGGCCTCGAGCGTGGTCACTTCCTGGCACTTCGTCGTCGCATTGTCGCTCAGCAGTCGCTCGAGTTCGCCGGGAAAGAAGTCACCACCCGGACCGGCACTGATCTGATTGGGCGACGACCACTCGCTGGAGTCCGGATCCAGGGCGGGAGGCTGCTGGAATGCCACCCAGTTGCCGATACCCAGCACGCAGATCCGATACCGAGTACCGGACGCGAGCTTCACCAACTTTGTCGAGCTCGCGGAGCGATTGAGGGTCTTCGTGAAAATCTGCAAGGGAGGATGAAGGCGGCAGAATTTGATTACCTCGCCGCTGTGCTAAGAATTTGGGGCGCTAAATGCAATAAAGCAGTCTAATGAGCTTCATATGACACGCTTTTGGAATCAAAATTATAGCTTAGGGGGATAATAAAATACCTTAAAACCATTCCAAATGCCAGAAAATTCCATAAATCTCTCTCACTCTTATAGCAGAGGCAGGAGAATGTTCACGGCGTTCAAGAGGAGAGCTTTTGCTCGATTGGTGTACATGCATTTAGGCAAGAGCGTAAAGAATTAGGGCTGAATGCGATTTTGAGTTAAATTTTAATCAAATCATATTACAATTGATAAGGAAATGAAAAAATTTAATTATTAAAAAGCTCAGTTTTCCTTTTAGTGCAAAACTGTGTCAAATCTACATTATCTATGCTTTTGAAGCTCGCGTTTTTGATATAAACAGAAGTAATGTCAGCGAATGAAAAAATGTACATTATTTTCATTACTCTTAGTGAAGTTTTCTCTTATGGTATGTTTATAGTGTATAGCAAAAAATGCAATTAACTTAATTATTCTTTAAAGAAAAAAAAATCGTGACATGCTCTCGAGAGACATTTCAGTTTCAGCCCCTTTCCATGGCTTAACAAAGTTGAAACAGAATGAATTCGTAAATTTAGTGGGCTATTTGATGTGATTGAACCTAATGTAAAATATTAATTGGATTCCACTGAAATTGATCTCACAGTGATGATGTTGACATTATTGATTTAATTTTTCTAATTGAAAATTTTATTAAAACTCCGGCCAATGAACTTCTGCTGTGAGATAGTCAGTTTTCCGCAAATACAGAGCTTAATTAATTTATGCTGGGGTGAAACACGGCTTTGCCTGCGTGGGAGGAATTTTTCAAAGTACTAAAAAGCAATATCGCGCGGTACAAAGAGTTTATGCTTGTGTGGGATTCACAAATTTCGCACAATATTGCAAATAATTCAATTAACATGGTAATTGAATTAATCGTGGAGCGTCTGAGATACGCCGTAGCGTGGCAAAAGCCCAAAGTCAGTGCCAACAGGGAAGGTTAGGTGATGTCTTATGGGAAAGTGTGTCCAAAGTGGGAAAGTTATTAGTTTTGTCAGGTCTTTAGAAACTGCATTATGCACTTGATAAATGAGAAAGTTTCCAACTAAGTTGGGAATATACAAAAAAAATATGTTTATCTGCATGAAACAAGAATGGAGCTTCAAGAGGGGGATTTGAGTGCGAAGAGAGGCTATCAAAGTATACTAAATTTGTTAAATCCTCACCTCGTTAGCGAGTATGTCGAGAGGATGAAAGACGACGTGATAGCCCGTGAGTCCGGTGTACTCTCGGCTCTGCCAGGAGACAATCACAGAGTACGGCTGGATGTCCTGAATGGCCACTTTGAGGATGAGTGGAGCGTCGCAGAACTCCTGCGGCTGCATCTCGAAGAGCACCCTTCCTCGCAGCTCCGCTGGCTGGTCACAGCGCACGTGATGGTGGCTCACAGTCCACTTCTGATGGTCACGTAGCCACTCCCATAACTCTTGAGTGTCGCAAGAGCACGAGATGGGATTATCTAATTGATGGAGAGGGAGATAAAAATAAATAAATCATGCGTTTTCAGAGATGGAGGAAAATTAAAGACTTACCTTCAGCTCTGAGAGTTTTGAGATGTGTCTCAACCGCTCTGAGAGCTCTCAAGGGCAGGTTTTCGAAGTAGTTCATTCTCAAATCCAGACCAGTAAGCTTCCTCAGATTCCTGAATGCTTCCGCTGATATCGTAGTCAATCGATTTCCACGCAGATAAAGGTCCGTCAGCCGAATCAAGTGCCGAAATGTGATCTTCCCGATGCGACTCAGTTGATTGAAGGAGAGATCAAGGGTCTGCAGATGGGCGAGATCTTCTGAGAACTCCTCCAAATCCTTCAGGCTGTTGTGCGAGAGATTCAGCATCCGCAAGTGCTTGAGACCCTGCAGACGCTCGCGCGGCAGCTGAGTCAGTTCATTCAGGCTGAGGTCCAGCGTCAGCAGTTGCGACAGTGTGGAGAAGGCGCCCGGTGAAATACGTCCTATGCGGTTCTGGACAAGATAGCAGTGCTGCAGTGCTGGGAAGACCACAAAGTCTCTACTGGTCAGGATGGAGATATTCGTGCGGGTGATGTGAATCTCCTTGAGATGGGGAAATCTCTGCCCATCATTCCCGTAGTAGAATTCAGTCAGGGGATTCCCAGTCAAATTCAGCCAACTCAGTCGTGGCAGGGAATTCTCAGACAGTGCAGAACTCGGTATTTGGCGGAATCTATTCCTCGCTAGATCTACTCTATGCAAACTGTAAGAATTCTGGAAGAAATTCGCTGGCAGTGAAAGCAAAATGTTCCCGCTAAGGTCTACAAAGTCTAGCTGCGTTAAATTGAAGGTGTTGAACCCACTCACGAGGGAAATGGAGTTGTCGCTCAAGTCTAGATGTCGCAGACTTGGTAGGCCGTTAAGTTTGAAGAAGTCTACACTCGTCAAAGCATTCTCAGCCATTGATAGCATTTCCAGAGTTGAGATGTTGTGCAAGGCGATGTGCGGAAAGTCACTGATTAGGTTGCCATCGAGTTTCAACTCCTTGAACACGTTCAGACCACTGAAGACGTTTCGTCGGATGATCTTCATTCGATTCCTACTCAGGTCTATTCGGACTAGATTGGTGTTCTTCGAGAAGATGGCTTCCGGCAACACTTGGATGCTACAGTTGGTCATGACGAGACTCTGCAGCGATGGGAGCTTATCGAAGATACCGGTCACGATGTCCGAGAAGTTGTTGCTACCAACTCTAAGGGTTCGCAGGCTAGGGATGTCTAGTTGCTTAATATCAGCCGGGATCAGAGTATTATCCTCAAGATTGAGTTCATTCAAATTGACCATTCCTCGGAATGTGCCTACGTCTATTCGAGACAGTGACGAGTTCCTAATGTTGAGGACCGCCACTGGCACACCATCGAAAATATCTCTATTCAGCATCATGATAAAGTTGTTAGACAAATCCAGCGACTTGAGTTTTCTCATCTTTCCGAAAGCTCTTCCTTCAATGGCTTGGATGTTGTTATTGGCCAGGATGAGTTCCTCTAGCTCCACCAGATGCTCAGAAAACATATCCCTCGTGACGTGCTCCAAGCGATTGTAACTCAAGTCTAGAAGTCGCAGAACTGCCATTGGCTGGAAAGCGTCGGGTGAGATCAGAGAAATGGAATTGTTGCTCAGATAGAGTCTCTCAACGTGGTGCAGATCTTTAAGCAGGGTCCGATTTAAGGTTTTAATGTTGTTGTTGCTGAGCCAGAGAACCTGGACGCTAGACTGACCAGTTAAAGCACCTTCAGCGATATTAGCAATCTCATTTGACTCCAACTGAATGGAGACAATCGCAGACTGATCAGCGGGGAAGATGGACTCCAGCTGATTCAGTTGATGGTTGTTCTGCAGCGTGATGAACTGCAGACTCATGAGACTGGCCAGGGCGGCAGATTCAATGGCTCCGATCTGATTGTTGTGCAAATGCAACTCCAAAAGACTGGGAAGAGGGTAGAAAACACTTCGTCTGATCAAGCGAATGCGATTGTTCTGCAATCTCAACTCTCTGAGATTGTTTAGACGGGAAAAAGTGCCGCGCTCCAATTCGCTAATCTCATTCGCATCCAGACTCAGGGATGTGAGTTTGCCTGTGCTCTCCAGGAAGTTGTGCGGCAAGTGGGGTATAAAATTGGAGTTCAAATACAACTGCTCGAGATTCGACAGCGTCCTGAGGGCTGAGCCGTCAAGCCGCCTAATTGCATTCGCCTCCAGGTAAATCACGCTGATCTGGGTGGAGTTGGTGAAGGCATCAGCGGGCAGTTCGAGGATGTTGTTGCCAGAGAGGAAAACCTCCCGCAGCAGTGGCAAATTGCAAAACACACCATTGATGTAGTGGATGTGATTGTGACTCAAGTCCACAGTCTGCAGCTTCTTGTTCCACATAAAGATGCCCCCGTCCAAGTAAATGATGTTGTTGTGACTCATGTCGAGACTCGTGAGCTCATGCAGACTCCTGAAGGCGTTCCTGTGCACGGTGTCTATGATATTGGAGTAGAGCGAGAGGGTCTTCAGTCTGCCGAATGGCACACAGAAGTCCTCGTCAATCTGTTCCAAGCTATTTGAGCTGATGTCGAGAAATTGAAGTGACACGAGCCGAGATATGCCGTCCCATCGGAATGCGCTAATCCCATTCAGTGCCACACGCAGCGAACGGAGATTATCCAAGTGGGTGAGTGCATTCATGGGGAACAATTTAAGCTTATTATCGGACAAATCCACCTCGGCCAGAGACATCTCCAGCCCCTTGAATGCGTCCACGGGGATTGTCTCCAGGGCGTTGCTCTTCAAGTTGAGCTTCACCAAGTGGAGGCCATCGAAGCCCCCGTTAAGCGTCTCACTGATCTCATTGGACTCCAAATCCAGCACCATAAGACGCTCCAGGCCAGACAGAGCCTTGTGCGGAACCTGCGTCGTAAAAATGTGTGGGTGAATATTTTGAATTCAACGGACGCCCAAGATGTGCGTTTGTGTGCCACAAAATCTCCCCATCTGAACTGCCAACAGCTCGTTTATCTGCGTGTTTGCGAAGAGTTAAAACGACGCACACGAGCCGGAAGTGAGGCGGGAGAAAGTGAAACATTTAACATTTAAATTGATCTCAATTTTCGCACTAGTGACACCCCTTCGGCCCCAAAAAAGCGAGTGTGTGTACACAAGAAAATAGACAGAGTCGCGATGTTGAAATGCCGTGGCAAGAAAAGTGTGAGGAAAAACAAGTTGAGGAGGAAAATCGATTTCAACCACGCGTTTGGTGTCTCTTTCGGCAACATTTTGTGTGTGTGTCAACGAGAATAGAACGGGGAAAATTCATTGTTTGCCAAAACGACAGCATTTTCAACTTTCAGCCGAGAACTCAACTGCAGAATCGGGCGTCTACACGCGCGTGCCTATTGATTTATCACACTCACAGGGCGGCTGTGAATAAGAAAAGTTCCATGGCTCTGTACCTGACTCAATTTCCCATTGACAATGCTGAGAGATTCGAGCGATGAGTGCAGATTACGGAGACTATTGTCCGCTAGAAATTGCAGGTGAGAGTGCGAGAACTGCAGGTGACGGATATGAATTTCCCCGGCGAACAGCTCGGATGATAATGAAGTCACTGATCTGTCGAAATCATACACGGAGAGCGACTGAATGGGCGCTCTAATGAGTTGCAGAGTGCTTCGCAGTGAGTGTGCCGTTGTCCCCGGACACTCCAGGAAGAGTCCTGTGAGGAAATAATGACATATGTACTAACGGCAGGATAGATTTCCTAAATCTCGCCCAAGCGAGAGCAACATTCGGAAATTGATACTCTTCGGATTATGTACGATATTAGAAGCCAATTAGCCTTAAGGAAAATTAGTGTACGACGAAGGTATTTGATTGTGATATCCTATTACAGACAGGAAACCTTATTGCAAATGCTGTCCATAATTAAACCAAGGAATTATCTCAAGTGATGGACTAGAAACACGAAAACTAGAATGCAGATAATAAATAAATAGAGTATCGATTTTTAAATCTTTTTCATAATTTCTGTGTTTGATTAAAATTATCTTAATCTACATTTCTCTTTTTCTTCTCTTTTTTGTCTGTGATAAAATTATTGTTAATAAACTCTGAGCCACTATGCATTTGAATACTAGGAAAAATCCAAAATCGCTTAATGAATTTATCCTCTGCTGTTCTCGCACAGAATTTGCGAGACGTCGGAATTTCAAAATAATACACTTAGCACAAAACATTTAATTACTCTTGTTAATATAAATTTGCATGCCCCAAATGTTCATTAGCAGTGAAAGCTCAACATTGCAAATGACCGAGAAACATGCTTAAAAAAGTCGCATAAAGTGAAATGTTAAATTCTCACATTTTCACCCTCCCTTGAAAGTATTTCCCTGACAAACTATAGTCATGAATTGAAATGTAACTTTCTCACCCATTTTCCAGTTCGCAAGAGGAAAATCAGGGGTGGAATTTATGCTTGGCGATGAGATGGCAAACGACAATTTCACAGGCAATTTCTCACATTTTAATTCGAATAGAATTATATTGCAAAGTCAAACGCGAAAGTCTTCGGGAGCTTGTCTTGCTGATGAGCGCGAGCTGGAAAGTCGATTTTTCAAATTGGCGGGAAACATTCCTTCCTGCGGGGGTGGCTGTGCATCAGATTAATAACACTGCCGGAGTGTAAAATATGTATGCGCGCGTGTGTGAGCGAGAAAATGAGAAAGTGCCTTCGGGAGCTGTAATGTTGGGTGGGTGGAAAATACAGAGCAACGAAATGAGTTCAAACAAGGGTTCTTCATTGTTCAATGCACGGAACAGACTTTGTGGGTGTTTTTCTTTGCACACTTGGGGAACCTCTTGAATGTGGCGTTTTTCTTTAAAAGAAAAAAAGGGTTCCCGAAGGAAAATTGCCCGTGATTTTTAATTTGCTTATGAACCTCGCAGAAGTGACTGAATTTATGCGCCTAATTAAATGTAAGATTCACATGAAAGTCGGCACTCACCGTCGTCGAACTTGTAGCAGGGACAGGCGGAGTTCTCCGCGAAACTGGGACACTGTATGGCTGTGTCGTTGTGGAGAGACGTCTGCTGGCTCCTGCCTGGCCGGCTCAATAGCAGCAGCATCAGGACGAGCCTGAAGCTGGCCGGCCCGTAGTCGTAGCCGCTGCAATCCTTCATGTTTGTGGGCCTCATGAGCGAGCGGCGGATTCCCTGCTCATCTTTCGAGGGTGTGAACTCGGAGACTCGCACGAAATGTCACCCCCTGTCCATGATATCCCCACGGGTCTGTCCTCTTTTACGGGCGCCCTTTTATTATTCACTTCGCCAGTCTCTGCGTTGGGGCCGTTGATTGCGTGCTTAGAAGCGTGGTGCAAACGACTCCCAAGTTGTCTGCAAATACAAATTAAATATTCAGAATACTGTTGATGGAGTGGGAGAGACTCTAAAATATTATATTTCTCCGGGAGTTGCACTCGTAAAAAAGACGCATTTTTTCGCTATTTAGGCCCCGTTGAAATGTTCTCCCTAATGACACCAGTCATTCCCACCCCGTGAACATGAGGGCACAACTAAAGTTAGATTGAAGCTAGATTATAGATTTCTTCACTCACTCTTGGTTATGTATTCACTTGAAATAATATTCCGAGAAATACTCTTCAAGGACGTAAAGTAATTGAATTTCAATTCTGCACAAACTCTGTTCGAAATGTGCTGATGAAAGAGAGGAAAATGTATCTGTATAATATTTTGCCATTCATAGAAATGTGATATGTTTTGAAAACAAGATAAAGTTATATAAATTGATATTATTGGAAATTTTCCAAGATGCGCATTGAAAAGTGTATTCAGTGCATTACAATTTCACAGAGAAGTTCTCAATGGAAATGTTTTATCCGCACTGAAAAGTGACACAAACTATATGCTTTTCGACAATATAATTGAAGTTTGAAAAGATGTGCAAAATTACCATTTATTGTTCACTTTGTATGGTAAAATTCTCTTTCCCTCTTGCTTTGTCATTCAACACTGATTAAGAACAATGCTGTGGAAAAAGTTTCTCTCTGCTGGGGTAATTTATTAATTATTGCAGCAATTTTTGACTTGAGAACTTCCAGAATGCCAGAAAGGGAAATTTTTCTCTCTCGTCTGGTCATTTTTTCCTTTTCTTCTCTTCTGCACACATTCCAGTGTTGGAAATACATAATTGAATTGCCGAGGAATGCCCGGGGGAAGGGGGATGGAAGGGAAAATTACCGAGGCCCCTAAAAGGAGTGCGCAATGGAAGGGAAAAAAGGAGCTGTTGCAAGGAAGAATAATTCTCGTGTAACCATAGAAATATTTATGATTAATTCGACAATTCATCCACTAAAGCATGACGCTATCCTTTTTCCCATGTTTCCGTGGATGAGATGTGAGGAGATGGGAATAAATGAGGGGGATAGTAATGTAATGTCTTCATCTGTCATTTTATATGTACAGCAGCCCACTCCATTTACCCCAAACCTCACGTCGAGGCTCATTTATGCGACAACGAAATTCCTGCATGACACAGATTGATGCAAGTGAAGTGTCTCTGAGGCGGGATTTTAAACATTAAATTCCTCTTTGGTGTTGAAGAGAATTAAACAAGAGTGGTTTGTAGCAGCAAATAGTATAAATAAATTTCCAATCTCAAAAGGTGTTCCACCAACACTTCACTTCCTCAACTCTGTGCAGAAGATTTTCTGTGAGATCCACAGTTTTGATATGATATGGAAACCAGTTTGCTCATAGAAGGCACTTTTTCGCTGTCAACACGGAGCAAGGCACTTCTTTCCCGCAAAAATAATCTGGGATGTAAATTTTGGGGAGGAGTTCGTGTGGGTTGAAGGGCGATGGTATCAGTGTTGGCTCCCGCAGGAGAGGCAAAGTGACTTCTCCACATGAAAGGCATGCAAACCTCATAAACTCTCGCGCCGTTCCTTCGTCTTCCTCTCTCGCACCCTCGAGAGCCAGGCGTGGAAAAAAGCACGCAAGTATTCTCCCTTTAATGACATCCACCAGCTTGTGAGGATGCCCAAAAGAAAGGAAATCTCTCTAAAATCTGGGGCGGAGAAGAGCAGTGAAGAGGCATGGCATGTGAAGTCTGAAGAGTCTCTTGCACACGAGATGTTTTTATGGGTTGTGTATACTGAAATTTTATTGACTTTAAATATTTTCCTTTTCATTTCCACGCTTAACGTCGTCCTGTGTGTCCAATCTTGTGGTTTACACATTGGGTTTACATGGGAATTTTCGAGCAAAATACCTGAAAGTCTGCTTTAAAAGTTATTTCCCAAAGTGAGGCGGGTGAAATCCTCTTTCATTCCACCTAAGCCAACCCACTAAGTGAATGTGCAATGTATGAAAATTGAATTCTGACAAATTTATGGTGTTTTCTTTGCCATCCACGCATTTTCCGGACAGACATTCATCTTTCCCGCAGTGGAGAAAAGCAGTGCCAAGTGCGGAATAGCCATGAAGAACTGGGTGAAAGCAATTATGAGATTAATACAGAAGGAGTTCATTTTCATCTCATGTTCAACTTCCTCTTCCGGAGCGCGCTTGTGAGCTTCGCCAAGGAATTTATATCCGCCCCTATTATAAACACATAAAAATTCTCATCATGTTTGTCGTACGGCGAAATGGCGTTATTAAGAGAGGGAGAAAGGAAGAGTCCTGGGCCGAGGAGATTTCCACCATCCCGCATGGTATTTCATGGGGAAGCATTTGCTTGGGTAACAGGAGCGATTAAACCTAATTAAATTGTGAGGTGGTTCATGGAAGAAGTCCCTCATTCACTTTACCCCGTGCACTCAATTATTGCAATAAATAGGATTATCCTCGTAAAATTGTTTGTGCTTCCCTTGTAATGTACCTTGAAGCATCTGGCGAGAGTCAGCGCACGCGAATAAACACAATAAACAATAGGATTAAGTCAATACTGTTCACCAATTCTTCCTCAACACCCGTTTTCTTCCATTTCCTCACGATTAAGAGTTAACTGGTGGGAAAATCCAATTAAAAACCGCGATACTGAAGCGCTTTGTCGCGTTTGTAGAAGTTCTACATATAGAACAGCTATGCAAAGTCCTAACGTGGCGAGTTAATTGATTAAATGTTTGACAAAAAATTGTAGACCTGACAGAAATTGCTTGTGAAATCAATCCAGTGCGAATAAAGAGTCAGACCTCGAGGGCATGGTTCAATCTATTTAGAGATGTCTCTCATGAATAAATCACAAGCAGCAAGTTTAGAAATGCATTCAGTGTTAAGTTTGAGTTGAGAGGGGGACTTTTGGAAGAGTTCCATCATGTTGCTAGAGGTGTGTCTGCAAATGATATAATCGAGGCATTGAGCTTCAAATTGCATGACAGTGAAACTTGCCAAAATAGTTAAGGCATGTTTTATGTCTGCACAACATTATATACATACAAAAAAAGGTTGTTATTGTACAGAAAAATCCATTCATTCTCTTTTCTTATCTTTCGTCACAAAGGGATTTAAAGCCCCGCCCACTCGAATACCCCGCCCACTTGCACTGATACATAAGAGAGATTCGCCAGCCAAAGAGAGTTACAGCAAAATTACCCTTAAAAAGCAACTTCGCCATTTGCAATTTCATATTTGTGTTATAATTTATTCGTGGAGAGCAATAAATTCTTCACAAATTTGTGTAAATGTTTTCATCATGTCTAGGTTGGTTTTTGGGTGAATAAATAAACTAATAAATGGTCTGTTGGGAGCAGCAAAACTGTATTAAATTGATAAATGTGGCGCGAAGTGCATTTAAATAATCCATGGGATTGGCTAATTGAAATTGCATTCAAACACTAGCCAATTGGTCAATTGTGTTGATATTCCGACTGAATAAACCCAAAGTGAAAGCATTAAGAGTACATAGCCAAGTCACAAAAGACTTGCTTCTTTTGTGATTTGCTAGAAAATGCATCACTATGCAGTGAAAATTGACTTGGAAGTCTCGGTTGAGTTGAGTGGCACTGAGCAAATTTGCGTTTGAACATTTTTGGGTTAGCGGGTCAAATTTCTCTGGAGAGCTGAATAGGGATCCACTTGGGAGGAAAGTGGTGAGAATGGCCCAAGACTGACAGAGGAAATGGCTCGGTGGGTTGAATGGGTGGAGACATGCTTTCTGGCTGAAAAGCGACGAGGAAGTGGGTTTGGAAAGCACACCCAGAACGGATCAAATTATATCCATTGTGAATTTTTTGCTCAACTGGAAAATGTCCTGGAGACACTTTTCTCTGCTCTGGCAGTTTAATGCGCAAATATTGCTGATGAAGTTGAAAAAAATGGACATAAATAAACCCCTTTTCTGGGGCTCTTTCACCCTCATCGGATTGTCTCCCTTACTGAGCACTGGTGTGTCAAATATTTTTGAATATTCCCATCAATCCTGGTGGAAATTCCAATTGAACCTAGGACCGAGGTGAGGGGACAGATTGGTATTTCTTTTCTCGTTGGCCTCCAAAGTGCTTCTCCGCATTTGAACTCCTTCGCCACTTCCGATTCCTCGTCCTCCTCATCGGTCCACGTGGGCGTCGAATAATGGTAAATTTTCCACCGTCTGTTCCCGGAAAACATACACCCATTTTATTTGCACTTGCTAAAACCCTCCCGAGAGGAAATGCCCGTAACCCTCGTTTAGTCTTAGTTTAGTGATCCGATTTATGCGCGAGAGGAGGAGGAGCGCCGAGGAAACGTATAACGGACGTAAATTCGAAGAGGATTACATTGATTGCTGATCACTTTAACGCAAAAGAGCTCGGCAGAGACTATGCGGGGTTGGGCGGAAAGAAGCGAAGCCACAGAGAAACTTCATCAATTGAAACACCACCTCAAGCCAGTGTGGGTCGCCTCTTTACCATACACGAGATATTATCCTGCGGAATATCCACGAGGCACACATGGTGGGATAAAATTGAGTTATCCCTTCGTTCCGCATCTCCAAGTCCCTTTCACTGGGGACTCCACGTCTGCGAATGGTAACCGGGAAGCTCCTTATACAACATCCAAGGGATGTCAACAAGGATTTATATCACAAGACATGAGAATGATGCGATGGAATACCTAATTTATACAACATACCGACAGCTTTTGGATTTAAACGACTCCTCACAACGTGATCAGCATTAT